ACCCCCCCCCCCCCCCCCCCTTTTTTTTTGCGAGTGGAAAATTCCTGTGTTGTTCAAAGGATCATAAAGTTTCTTGGCATGTTGGTTTATTCATCTTCTTTCCGGTTTTTCCCTTCTTTGAAAAATACTGTATTGTTATTGAAAAAAGTTGCGTCGAGTTATGTAAAGAGTCGTTCAACATATAGATGAAGTCTGTATTTCGTTTGGTTCCAGATAACGCGGTTATTTTCCGTTCTGAAAATTAATTTGCTAATGCATTTATTTAATTCAGCTGAAATGCTTTCTTCAACTGCGTTTTTTTTATTTGATCCGCTTTTTCCATCGGATTGAGAAAAGAAAAATCAAAGAACATAATCAGCAATTCAAGCTTAGAACAGTAAAAAAACTGGATTCGAAGAATTTCAGAGAATTGAATTTAGATGTCAATATATTTTTTGCAAACTTTTGTAGGGGACAGACCTGATTGAAACTCAACTGCATTATTTTCGGTCTGTGAGAAAGTTATTTATGGAAGTAGAGGGTCTATGATGTGAACAAAAGTTTTGACGTTTTTTGAAATTGAAAAAACGAACTGATTCAAGGAAATATACAAGAATGAAAGTCGAGAATCTGCTGGGCTGTGGCCGAAGTGCGTAACACCCTATTGTTTATTTGCGTACTATCAAATTGATTTGCAAAACCGAAGAAATGGCAGTTTCACTAGAAGTTTGAATGCAAAATAAATCCTACAAGCACTTTTGAGTACTTGATGGGTCCATCGTCGAAGTGTTGAAGTTTAGGAAAAAAAAAGCACGGGTTTATAGAATGGGACAGATTTTGCTTGGTTTTTCGCAATGAACACGATTCAAAATGATTAATATTCCTTGCTTGAATGTGAAAGCGAGTGGAGGGTTGAAATGTTTTGCATTATTATTGCTTTCTACTGGAGCTCGTGAGAAACAGTATTTATGATTTGATCGTGATAGTTGTTTCTGTGCTTTCGTTTACTGTATATGTTTCTGATGTTGTTTTCTCTTTCATAGTGATATTCCGTCGGCTGGGCTCTATATGGCTGTGTATCAAGGTCTGTTGAATGAACTCGGAGACCGGCCGATTGTTCATGCCCTGGGTGGAGGTTTAGCAGGTGAAATAAATTTCATTTTTATGCCATTCGCTGGGTTCTTCCAACTCTGTACGTGTTTTCAGGTGTGCTAAGTTGGGCCTCGATCATTCCCTTTGATGTCGTCAAATCTCGGCTACAGTCGGATGATTTCCAGAACAAGAAATACCGTGGAACTTGGGATTGCATGAAGCAAAGTGTGAAAAGCGACGGGTTTTCTGTTCTGTTCCGGGGATTCTCCGCGGCGGTTCTGCGAGCTTTTCCTGTGAATGCTGCGATTTTTTATGCCTATGGATGGACAAGGAAGGAGTGTTTTATTCTGAATCAAAAAATTGAGTGATTTTGCAGAACATTACAACTTCAGACGCGTCGTGAACTGTTTAGATTTTGTATGGGGTTCATGGTTGTGGTTTTTTTTAATTTTGTTGACGTCGTTCTGAATCAGACACGTATCAGAAGGCGGTTTTTTTTTTTTTACCCGTTCGTCAAGTTCAAAACTGAGGCAATTTGGAATTTTGTGACTGTTGAATCTCGTGCCATGTACGTGACTGCGATTTTTGCCTTTTGGTGCCCATTCTTGCCATAACTGTGTATTATTGTTTTTACGACAGTCTTTCAAAGTGAATCCGAGACTTATTTTAGAGAGTGGAGTTCAAATGCATTTCCCGGTGAATTCAGGCGTTCAGCTTGTTCTTCAGTTCTCCTTCGTTGTTATACTGTACCCTCTTGTTTTCATGAATCTTCTTTTTTTTTTTTACTAAAATTGTGTTTCGCTTAAATTTTTTTTTCGTTTGCTAAGATTTATTGGATGTGATCAGATTTGAAGTTTAAGCGACGTCTGTGACACGTTCCGAAAACTCACGAGGTTTATGACAGAAAAGTTGTCTGTAGTGAAATATTTCTGGCATTGATTTTTCATTTTTATTCAAGTTTTCACAATGAATGGCGGTGATGCAATTGACGTACGTGAGCGTCATTCGAACAAAGTGTCGAGAATAATGGGCGATTTGTTGCTGAAAGGTTACAAAATGCTAGGATCATCTTGCGAAGATTGTTCGGTAAGTTCTGGTGGTTTCTGAATATCCTGTTGGACTTCAGTCAAGTTTTCCGTTGCTTGTTGCAGAATGTGCTTCTTCAGGATCGATCGGGTTCGCTTCTCTGTGTTTCTTGTGAGGAGATGAAGAAACTCGCTCCTCCTCCTGCAAAGAGTACGTTTTTCATCTTCAGCGTTTTAACTCTCACTCAAAATTTTTCGGTTTAATGTTTTATTTTCCAGTTGAGAACACGCTTGCAGAACCGAAATTCCAGACCATTTCTGATGATGAAGACAAAGCCTTGGCTCAGGTGAAAGACGCCGTGTGCAAAAAGTTGACCTGGGCGTCTGAGCAACTCGAGAAAAGTGATGTTTCGGACTCGTTGAGGCTCGTCCAGTTGATTGGAAACATGCTTGCTATACTTCAGGACATGAAGAAATAACTTCTTCGTCGATTGTATCCTTCGAAAATAATAATCTTTAGTAAATAAATATTTTCAATTCACATCGGATAATTAATTTTTTGTTTGTGTGTGAGCTAAACCAAATATTCTGGCCATGATTGCATTTGTTTTTTTTATTCCTTAGGCTGAAAAATGACGTCAAGAATCGTAACACTGATTGACATGGACTGTTTTTATGTCCAAGTGGAGGAGAAATTGAATCCTGAAGTCAAAGGAACGCCGGCAGTTGTAGTGCAATACAAACCGTATCGAGGTGGAGGGTGAGTTCGATGCTCTGTGTAGCTACCAGATTTTATTTCAATAAACGGCTTTATAACGTGACCTGCCATTTTGTATTCAAGTATGTACAATTTTTATAGATGCATTGAAAAAATGAAGATAAGTTGTTCCGATGAGGTGTCGTCATGTTTGCTCATCAAAATGTAGCTGCAGTTGTGCTTATCATTCTTCCTGACGATTGTTTCACTCACTTCTCAAGACTGAGTACTGTACCTTTATGTGAAGCATGATCAGCTCTTGCCATTGACTTGCTTTTGTAAAATATTTTGGATATTTTTTAAAAATTACATTTCCTTCAGTTACATTTTTCAAGCTAAACATCCCTTAATCCGATTTCATGAAAATAATTTTACATCGAAAAATTAAAGTACTGTACTGAGGTCTGGCGGAATTCGGGTGACACCTGCGATATCAAAGAAAATTAAAGATGGGAGCTAATTCAGTAAAATCTCATTACAACAAAGTTTTCAGTAGAACAAGCGTCTTTTTAAGTCCCGGCAGAAAGCCCCCAAAATATATTTTAAAACAATCTTTTTTGCGATAACACACTTCCCGATTCCATGCTTGAAAAAATTTTTGACAAATGTTTAATGTATTCTCCAGGTATATATTTCCTGACTAAGGCAGGCACTGCCTTGCATTTTCTGGTCCCAAATGGGACTGTCTGGTTCGTTTTTGAAGAGATGTAACCCCTGTAATCGATGACAAACATGCTTTCAAGTGGTAGCACGCATCATCCTCTCAGAATGAAGAGATGGGTGCAACTCATTTAATACATGAATGAAGCCAATTTATTTTACTCAGTTTTTCAAACAATAATGAAAAATCTGAGGATTCCAGAACAGCAAAATCTGATTGAATTTTGACAGGTCTGTTATGAAAAATTCTTCCAGTCATTAATTTTGAAAATCTCGTTCTAACAAATTATCCAGAATAACGAAACATTTTCTCAAGTCCCCAAAAGCTTGAGTCAAAATTTCACTGTCAAACCTATTTTGAGCCAATTTGTGCGCTATTAACCTCACCAACACTCAATGGGGTAATTCCTTCGAGTATATCCGAACGTAAAGTCGAATAAGATCGTTTTATCTAGTTATGGAGTGGAAATGACCATCCTTTTCTGCGTGCAGAGAATGTGTAACGTGATCGTTTTCATTATCTCTCCCGAAAAGGATAATTGCGGTCAACTACGAAGCCAGGGCGAAAGGGATCAAGCGTGGAGGAACGCACGGGGATGATGCCAAGAAGATCTGCCCAGAAGTCCACATATTCCAAATCCCCGAAGTGCGTGGGAAAGCGGATCTAACCAGATACCGAGACGCGAGCAAAGACGTTTTCAAAGTCCTCACGTCGTTTAGTGACTGTGTGGAACGCGCGAGCATCGACGAAGCCTACATTGATCTCACTGACATTGTGGAGAAGCGGCTCAAGGACGTGCGGGACTCGGGCGTGAAACTCCGCGATTATTTGTGCGCCGAAAAGTTTGGAAACACGTTTGCGAGTGGTTGTGATGGTGGGATCGGGGTTTGGTTGAACAAGGTGTTGCCGAGTGAGGAAAGTGACGAGGATGACGAGATGATCGACGGTGATGAGGCCAGTGAGAGAGAGTTTAGTGATCACGTGAGGTTGACTATGGGTGCGTTGTTTGTGGAGGAGATGCGAGCCGCGGTTTTTGAAGCGACGGGGTTTCGGTGCTCGGCTGGGATTTCGCACAACAAGGTGAACATTTCGTAACACAAATTTAGTTCTTAGTTTCTGTAGTAAACGATCTGTGATTAGCTGAATGTGAACTTATCAGAAAATAATCTCCGTTAGGTTATGATTTCTTACAAACGAGACCCGCGAACAAATTGAGTCGAACCGCATTTTTAACTCCGAAAGTTCGGCGTTATTCTTCTTTTCAGAAGAATAACGCCAATTCGTTGGGGGGCCGAAAATTCGTTTTAGTGAGAAATGTGAAGCTGGGAGGTTTACCTTAATCCTAATCCGTTCCAGATTCTTTGGGAATTCCCATTAATGCTGACTTAACATGCAGTCAACATGAGCAAATGAGAAAAAAAAGGAAGGAAAAATACTCATTCGCAATCGGAATTTCAGTACAGTATTCTCGAACAATCGTGAGAAATAAAAAATCGTTCGTAGTTTTGAAATATTGAACTGGCAGTTATACTTCTCGAAGCAGCTTCATTGTTTTTAATGGAAAATTCCGTCAAGTAGTTCATGAGCCAAATCAAGTCCCAGTTTCCGAAAAAAAAGTTTGTGGCAGTCTTATTTGATTGTTCGAAAACACTGCCATTTGAGGCGTTCACTATCCGGGGCAATTATCTATTTTATTATTCAATATTATTAATTATTATTAATTTTTCTGCATGATTTTGCCTTCGTGATTCTTGGGTAGATGTCGCCTGATTGTATTTCGCTGATCAGAATGACCCAACTGAACCTGAGCTTACCGTAATAAATTTGAGATGATCAAGGGATCTAGAACCCGATTGAAAAGTATGAAAACCAATCAAATATAGCAAATGAGTTGATGACGAAAGGAAATCACGAAATCGTGACCGTCGGGTGTTGAAGAGTAAAATTTACGAAAGAACCTGCTTGAAAATGCGACTATTTTTTTTTTTTTTTGCCTTCTTTCGCAGACGTTGAGCAAACTCGGGTGTGGCTTGAACAAGCCGAACAAGCAAACAATCATGCCTATGGACGCCGTGCCGCAATTGTTTTCGAGCATGCCGATAAGCAAAGTATTTTTTTTTGCCTTCTTTCGCAGACGTTGAGCAAACTCGGGTGTGGCTTGAACAAGCCGAACAAGCAAACAATCATGCCTATGGACGGGCACGGCGTTAACAAAAGCTCGTACGGCTATTCGTTTCACTCCTTAGAGCCGCCCTTTGAGCCCCGTTACTAACTTCTGCTTGAGTTCACGTTGTGCTACTCGCTAAACCGTGTTCACGGGAACGCTACTCTTACCAAGTGCTTCGATGAGAAAACAGCGTAAGGAAACTCATTTGTATCGACGAAATTTGTTGTGTTTTTCACCGAAATGACGACGAAGTTCCCTTTGTTTAAGAATTATTATTTTTCTGGGAAAAAGAAAGAAGAACTAGTTCGTCTTGGACTGTTTTTGTGAGAATGTGATAATTTTTAAAGGCGACATTGAAAATTTAAAATTATACGATGCCAGAAAAATGTTCACACTGCTTTTGAATCGTACTATCGTATCTGTGTTGGGTCTGATTTAATCGCACTTAATTGAAGATTTTTCGCCTTTATTTTATTATTTTGTTGAATTTTGAATGCTTTTTATTCTTCATGGAAGTGGTTGACAAAGGAAGAAGCATTTGTTCCTTTTGGACAGTTGTTGGAGAACTTTTTTTTAAGGCGAAAGCGGAAACTTTGATACAATGCCACCGATTTTCTGCGAAGACGTTCGAATGGCATTTAGAGTCAACTCCCTAAAATTTGAACAAATATGACTGACTGATGATGATGTCGACTCCTCGATTTAGTTTGTACCGTTGTGCGTGATTGATTTCTAAAGTAATTGAACGAAGATCTTTCCGCTGGATCTTTGTTCTTGAATTTTTAATCAATTTTTTTTCTCCACTAGGAATTGGTTGGCGAACTTGGCTCAAGGACACGATAACGAGCGGCACAGACGGGCTGTTGATGGCTTCAGCTAGCCTACGCCTTTCTTAAAGGCTCCCGGCCTTCGCAACCAGTTCACACTCCTACACTTCCTTACCACAAACTCGAAACGACTTCTTTAAACGTACTCGCTGGATACAGATCGAGAAGAGGCAAGTTTTCTTCGACGACTAATAGTTCTTACATAAGATGAAATCGTGCTCTGGTCAACAGACGATTCGTATTTTCAGATTCAATATATATATTTTTTTCAATATATTTGTGCTGCCATAAAAAAATGCGAATTTCGCTGTTGGGAATGCTAGTTATTATGACATTTATTATTTTACTTTCTTCTCTGAGAAAGTTATTAAGAGCTCTCCACTACTAATCAAAAGCATCTTTCAATAAGAACCGATGCGTGCTTCAACATATAACAAAGTTCAAAATAAATACTATTTTTGAAAATTAATTACCGTGTACAGTTTTGTAAATCCAAACCGCAACAATAACGTTCATTTTGACGTCAGAATTCCATTAGCCATGAAAGTTTGCTGTTCAACTTCCTCTTCTGAACTTCATTCTCAAAGTATAGAACAAAAGATTTGCATTCTACGTGACTGGTTGTTGGTCAAATAAAGAAGCGCATCGCTCGCATAAATTAGGTTCAGTATTTAAATATTGGCATTGAATGTTCATTTTTGCCTTATTGGTATTTTTATACCAGATGAATCAGTGTACAGTGTATTTTATTTTAGGAAAGTCCATATTTTGGTAAATATTGCCATTTCTCTTTTTTTTTTCCAGAACAAGCGAATGGCGAAGACGATGACCGTCGGTGTTTCTCTTGGCATGAACAAGAACATGACGCGTGGGAAACACTTGTCAAGATCGTGTCCGTTGGCGTGTTACTCGGCTGCCAGAATCGGAGCCGACGCGTACAAAATCATCTCCAAGATCAACACAGCCAAAGAACCCGACTGGTAATTAATCATGCTGAATTATCCGAAAGCCGGTATTGGAGTCAGTTTTTTTTTTTTGAGAACGTTTGAAATCTTGCGATTGGAGGACGATGTTTATTTAGTTGTCTGTCTGAGAAGATGTATAAAAAAATTGAAATTGCAGGCAATCAAGTGCAGTTTCTGTGAAATTTCTTGCTCTTTTAAATTAGCTGCATCCTTATGTCCGTCGACAATTGTAAGGAACACACTGTCCAACAGCCGAAAAAAATTTATAATATTCAAAAATCTTTTGCATATTTTGGACTTGCTGAGTTTTGAGCGCGTGTTTTGTCCAAGGTTCTGGCTTTCGTCTGGAGTGAGAAAGATTGTGAAATTTTAAGCGATTTACAGAAAAAAATCTGACATTTAAAGTTTTGTTCTGTAGGTTCTGATTTTTGTCGCCGTGTAGCATTTTGTGTCGAAGTATTGTGTGTTGGTGTCGCCCAAATATTTTCATGGTTTAAAAAAATACTAAATGGCAAATTCAGCTCCAGTTACTGATGCAAGCGACACCTGTCCAGTATTTTTACGACTGGTAATTAATCATGCTGAATTATCCGAAAGCCGGTATTGGAGTCAGTTTTTTTTTTTTGAGAACGTTTGAAATCTTGCGATTGGAGGACGATGTTTATTTAGTTGTCTGTCTGAGAAGATGTATAAAAAAATTGAAATTGCAGGCAATCAAGTGCAGTTTCTGTGAAATTTCTTGCTCTTTTAAATTAGCTGCATCCTTATGTCCGTCGACAATTGTAAGGAACACACTGTTCAACAGCCGAAAAAAATTTATAATATTCAAAAATCTTTTGCATATTTTGGACTTGCTGAGCTTTGAGCGCATGTTTTGTCCAAGGTTCTGGCTTTCGTCTGGAGTGAGAAAGATTGTGAAATTTTAAGCGATTTACAGAAAAAAATCTGACATTTAAAGTTTTGTTCTGTAGGTTCTGATTTTTGTCTGGCACATCGTAAAACACAGCTTCATAACACACAACCACAGCGGGTTTATAAAAGTACCAAATTTTTTTATGATTTACCGTTTAAGTCGAGGTCAATGACTACGTTCGCTGTGGACAGGTCATAAAAAGGAAGATAAATCTGAAACTGAAATTTTGAATTTTCTTCAATGCCCGGCCGAAATCACGTCCTAAATTTGATCATTGAAATATTTTTGAAATTCATTCATTCTCTTTCATTGGCGCTTTTATTCAATATTTCGTGATGGTTTTCTGCATATTTGATCTGCTTTCATTGTTTTTTTTTATTTCCTTGATGCATTTTCTTTTCTGTAGGGCGCCACCTGTGATTTCGGTTTCAATTGCTGCATCGAACTTTGAGCTTCTTACCAGTGGAAACTCGGTTTAGTACGTCGCAAAAAAGTGGTTTCTTCGACTGTTAAGTTCCTGTGTTTAACGTCTTGGTAACTTTTTACTTCGGTTTCTTCTTTGGGGTGCACTAGTCGGGACGTCAAGGAGGTTCCTTTAAGGTGTTAAAAAACCATTTTTCGCTGCGAAGATGGAAAAAGAATCGGATCCATTTTTGCCAGAGAAATCTCAGAAACCGTCAAAGGAACCATCTCGTTTTCTAGAAAAAACTCGATACTCGAGCGCTGAAAAGCACAGGAAGCCGTTCTTCGCTTCGAATTCTACCGGGAGATCAGCAGCTGCGTCAGATATCAAGCCGAATTCAAGTGAAAATGGTGATCCAAGGAACGAATCTGGAACTGAAGAAAAGTGTATTCAGCTCTTGGATATTTTCCCTAATATTAGCGACCTGAATGAAGAAATTCTCCTTGAATTGCCTCTTGCTTTGCGGAAGGAAGCTGAGAAACTTCTTTCCAAAAAGCCAAACCCTGTGGATGAAGCTGGTGAGGAAACCTGTGTTTTTTATTTTGTGAAAAATACAGTCAAGCCTTGATTTAGCGCCACAAAGTTCCCTGGAACAAATGTCCCTGTATTGTGTTCTCAAGGGAAACCCCACTTTAGTGCCACAAAAATGTCCTCTCCTGGATGAAAAATAGGCCAAAATCAGAGAAATTGAGGCATATTTAAAGGGATATCATTGGGTTTTTACTGAGAATCACATGCCTTTGCTTTTTAAATAAAAAAAAAAATCGGTTTCTGAATTTACATGCAATTGGGTGGTTTTATTTGAATGTCCATTGCAGAAAACAGCATCTCTATAACTGATATAGTCTCTTTAAAAAATTTGAAATCACTCCACCTGATCTTGGAATTGTGTGCTTTTATTGAAAGGTTGATACAACACTGCAAGAAATAGTTCCACTGTTGTACTTGACCCAATTTGTGTAAAAATCTAATATATTCTGTGCTATAACATGCATTTGAGCCTCTCAGTTCTGTGTGGCTTTCTCTTTTACAAAACCAATTAAATGGCCTAAAAATTAAGAACAAATGATCTTCTACCTTTATGAGAAGCTCTCAAATTATTTTTTCTGATACAATAAAAATGATTGAGTGCCACCCTTGCTTAGTACCGCAAAATGTTGCCAAGACAAGCAATGGCACTAAATTAGGGTTTGACTGTATGTATATTGAAAATCATGCAGCGTTTTTTCACCAAAGAAGCTGACAATTCAAGGACACAAATTGCAGAACCATTGAAAAATGAAGCCAAAGAAGAAACCCCACGTGATCAGCCCTGCAGTTCCTCCAAGGAAATTCCAGTTAAAAAACCATTTTTCGCTGCGAAAATGGAAAAAGAATCAGATTTAGTTTTGCCGGAGAAATCTCAGAAACCGTCAAAGGAACCATCTCGTTTTCTAGAAAAAACTCGATACTCGAGCGCTGAAAAGCAGAGGAAGCCGTTCTTCGCTTCGAATTCTACCGGGAGATCAGCATCTGCGTCAGATATCAAGCCGAATTCAAGTGAAAATGGTGATCCAAGGAACGAATCTGGAACTGAAGAAAAGTGTATTCAGCTCTTGGATATTTTTCCTAATATTAGCGACCTGAATGAAGAAATTCTCCTTGAATTGCCTCTTGCTTTGCGGAAGGAAGCTGAGAAACTTCTTTCCAAAAAGCCAAACCCTGTGGATGAAGCTGGTGAGGAAACCAGTGTTTTTTATTTTGTGAAAACTATGGTCAAGCCTGGATTTAGCGCCACAAATGTCCCTCCATTGTGTTCTCAAGGGAAACCTCACTTTAGTGCCAATGCACTTAGTTCCACGAAAAATGTCCTGTCCTGGATGAAAAATAGGCCAAAATCAGAGAAATTGAGGCATATTTCAAGGGATATCATTGGATTTTTACTGAAAATCACATGCCTTTGCGTTTTAAATTTTAAAAATTTGGTTTCTGAATTTACATGTAATCGGGTGGTTTTTTTTTTGAATGTCCACTGCAGAAAACAGTATATCTATAACTGATATAGTCTCTTTAAAAAATTTGAAATCACTCCACCTGATCTTGGAATTGTGTTCTTTTATTGAAAGGTTGATAAAACACTGCAAGGAACAGTCCCCAATGTTGTACTTGACCCAATTTGTGCAAAAATCTAATATATTCTGTGCTATAACATACATTTGAGCCTCTGAGTTCTGTGTGGCTTTCTCTTTTTCAAAACCAACTAAACGGCCTAAAAATTCAGAACAAATGATCTTCTACCTTCATGAGAAGCTCTCAAATTATTTTTTCTGATACAATAAAAATGATTGAGTGCCACCCTTGCTTAGTACCGCAAAATGTTGCCAAGACAAGCAATGGCACTAAATTAGGGTTTGACTGTATGTATATTGGATCTTGCTAACTTGAACTTTCTCATGTTGAATTTCTGGAGAGGAACTTCATATGATTTACGATTGTTTGTTGCAGAACCTTCGAATCTGACAGAAATCCGTCAAGTTCCTCAGCAAATACAAGCGACCCAAGTTTTCTGCCCAGATTGCAAAACCATGGTGGACCTTCTCGACTTTGACCAACACAAAGACTTTCATTTGGCGACCATGTTGCAAAAGGAATTTGATGCCAGAAATACTCCTGTTCCCGTGCGGAAGAGCATGTCTGCCTTCAAACCGAAAGCTGCGAGTTCGAGAAAAAGCATCAACCAGTCGAAAATAACCAAATTTTTCAAGAAACCTTGATTTTTGCGTATTGGTGATTTTCCGGTTGTGAGTTTTAATCGGGATTCTCAGCATTTGTGCGGCAGCTTTTGGATATTATTATTATTTTTTTGCATACAGAAATCAAAGTGACCCCGGTATTGAAAAGACGAGTTCAAACTTCATTTACTAAAGTATATATTTTGGTGCAAGCTTTCAGTCGGATTTTGAGAACAACCGCCAAGGAATATGCATTGAATTCTCATGTAGTAGGGGGTTCCTTTGTTCAAATATTGTACTCATAAAATAAACAATTTTAGAAAGATTAATTACCCAACTTCTGCTGAGGGGGTCGAAAAAAGGTTTATACACCAGAATTATTTTTATCCTCTGGGTGGGAATCGAAAATGTACCCTTTACTTGAGAAGGAACCCTTGGAGAGTCGCCAAAATCACGCCCGAATGCGCGAAAAATTTTCCGAAATCAATACTATGTCAGTGGTACTTCAGCTTTCAGCACCATGCTGCAGATTTCATCATTTATTTTCGCTGAAGTTTTCTGAAAATCGAATTAAGGGGAAATTCAACATTAAGTACATACTCCAGTTTAAGGTTTACTCACTATATGGACATGTAAACGCTGATCCTGCTTGAATGTATTTGGACATATATAAGATGATATGTTGAACAGTTAATAACGGGATACTGTGGTCCAGTCTCTATAATCCCACTAATTTCAGTTAAGTTCTCTAATTAAAATATCTTTCATTATCAAAAGTCCACAATCAAAATATGTAATGCATGCATGTATACTGTACTGTACCCAAGTACCACTTGAACTTTTTTCTTTCTCAAAATTGAGGGAGAAAAAAGGGCGCATGTCTTATAGGCGTGTATGCATCTTTCAAAAAGTTGTAGAAGTTTATGAGAGCA